GTTGTTGTTGTTGTTGTTGTTGTTGTTGTTGTTGTTGTTGTTGTTGTTGTTGTTGTTGTTGTTGTTGTTGTTGTTGTTGTTGTTGTTGTTGTTGTTGTTGTTGTTGTTGTTGTTGTTGTTGTTGTTGTTGTTGTTGTTGTTGTTGTTGTTGTTGTTGTTGTTGTTGTTGTTGTTGTTGTTGTTGTTGTTGTTGTTGTTGTTGTTGTTGTTGTTGTTGTTGTTGTTGTTGTTGTTGTTGTTGTTGTTGTTGTTGTTGTTGTTGTTGTTGTTGTTGTTGTTGTTGTTGTTGTTGTTGTTGTTGTTGTTGTTGTTGTTGTTGTTGTTGTTGTTGTTGTTGTTGTTGTTGTTGTTGTTGTTGTTGTTGTTGTTGTTGTTGTTGTTGTTGTTGTTGTTGTTGTTGTTGTTGTTGTTGTTGTTGTTGTTGTTGTTGTTGTTGTTGTTGTTGTTGTTGTTGTTGTTGTTGTTGTTGTTGTTGTTGTTGTTGTTGTTGTTGTTGTTGTTGTTGTTGTTGTTGTTGTTGTTGTTGTTGTTGTTGTTGTTGTTGTTGTTGTTGTTGTTGTTGTTGTTGTTGTTGTTGTTGTTGTTGTTGTTGTTGTTGTTGTTGTTGTTGTTGTTGTTGTTGTTGTTGTTGTTGTTGTTGTTGTTGTTGTTGTTGTTGTTGTTGTTGTTGTTGTTGTTGTTGTTGTTGTTGTTGTTGTTGTTGTTGTTGTTGTTGTTGTTGTTGTTGTTGTTGTTGTTGTTGTTGTTGTTGTTGTTGTTGTTGTTGTTGTTGTTGTTGTTGTTGTTGTTGTTGTTGTTGTTGTTGTTGTTGTTGTTGTTGTTGTTGTTGTTGTTGTTGTTGTTGTTGTTGTTGTTGTTGTTGTTGTTGTTGTTGTTGTTGTTGTTGTTGTTGTTGTTGTTGTTGTTGTTGTTGTTGTTGTTGTTGTTGTTGTTGTTGTTGTTGTTGTTGTTGTTGTTGTTGTTGTTGTTGTTGTTGTTGTTGTTGTTGTTGTTGTTGTTGTTGTTGTTGTTGTTGTTGTTGTTGTTGTTGTTGTTGTTGTTGTTGTTGTTGTTGTTGTTGTTGTTGTTGTTGTTGTTGTTGTTGTTGTTGTTGTTGTTGTTGTTGTTGTTGTTGTTGTTGTTGTTGTTGTTGTTGTTGTTGTTGTTGTTGTTGTTGTTGTTGTTGTTGTTGTTGTTGTTGTTGTTGTTGTTGTTGTTGTTGTTGTTGTTGTTGTTGTTGTTGTTGTTGTTGTTGTTGTTGTTGTTGTTGTTGTTGTTGTTGTTGTTGTTGTTGTTGTTGTTGTTGTTGTTGTTGTTGTTGTTGTTGTTGTTGTTGTTGTTGTTGTTGTTGTTGTTGTTGTTGTTGTTGTTGTTGTTGTTGTTGTTGTTGTTGTTGTTGTTGTTGTTGTTGTTGTTGTTGTTGTTGTTGTTGTTGTTGTTGTTGTTGTTGTTGTTGTTGTTGTTGTTGTTGTTGTTGTTGTTGTTGTTGTTGTTGTTGTTGTTGTTGTTGTTGTTGTTGTTGTTGTTGTTGTTGTTGTTGTTGTTGTTGTTGTTGTTGTTGTTGTTGTTGTTGTTGTTGTTGTTGTTGTTGTTGTTGTTGTTGTTGTTGTTGTTGTTGTTGTTGTTGTTGTTGTTGTTGTTGTTGTTGTTGTTGTTGTTGTTGTTGTTGTTGTTGTTGTTGTTGTTGTTGTTGTTGTTGTTGTTGTTGTTGTTGTTGTTGTTGTTGTTGTTGTTGTTGTTGTTGTTGTTGTTGTTGTTGTTGTTGTTGTTGTTGTTGTTGTTGTTGTTGTTGTTGTTGTTGTTGTTGTTGTTGTTGTTGTTGTTGTTGTTGTTGTTGTTGTTGTTGTTGTTGTTGTTGTTGTTGTTGTTGTTGTTGTTGTTGTTGTTGTTGTTGTTGTTGTTGTTGTTGTTGTTGTTGTTGTTGTTGTTGTTGTTGTTGTTGTTGTTGTTGTTGTTGTTGTTGTTGTTGTTGTTGTTGTTGTTGTTGTTGTTGTTGTTGTTGTTGTTGTTGTTGTTGTTGTTGTTGTTGTTGTTGTTGTTGTTGTTGTTTTTTTTTTTTATAATAGTGGTAGTTAGATATTGTCAAATATTTTATTATGAAAAAAAAGACACTTTTATTTCATTTTTATTTTTAAATAAGAAGTTATTTTTTAAATATAAAAAATTGTAAAATAGATGAAAAAAAGAGGAAAATAGAAAAAATAGAATTATAGTTTAGAAAAAATTGTTTGGAAGATTTTTTAATAATGATTTCATTTGGAGATTTTTAATAGTTGTAATTAAATATTATTATTATTATTATTATTATTATTATTATTATTATTATTATTATTATTATTATTATTATTATTATTATTATTATTATTATTATTATATAATAGTGGTAGATGGATATTAAATTATTATTATTATTATTATTTATTTATTTTTAATGTAAGGGTAAATTAGTAAAAATATAATTAGAAATTGTGTTTAGAGTTGTTATTAAGATGACATGTGGTCAGAGTTGCTATCATGACAATCTTAAATTTATATATATTAAGATTAAGATAAAATTAAGATTAAGATTGAAATATTAAGATACTAATAAAATTAAGTTTTGATTTTTTTTTTAAAATGGTCAAAATGCGCTCTCCTGACTTAATTGATAAAAATATTGCAAAAATAAAAGAATAAAATAAAACGCATTAGAAAATCAATTTAATTGAAATATACTGTTGGTGTAAAGTAGTTTTACACTATCAGTGAATCAATACCGTTAGATTTTTGTAAAAATTTAACTTTTTTTAAAATTATATATAAAGTATTACATGTGAATGGTAAAGATGCATTGACAGTGTAAAATATTTTACACTGACAGTGTAAAATATTTTACACTGACAGTGCATAACAATTATTCTTAGAATTAATTTTATTTAAATTTTTCAAATAAAAAAGAGATCGGAATGAATCGAAAATGAATAAAATTGGATGCATGCTAAATCGAAAAATAAAAATAACACACCAACGCAATCTATGCACAACGTAGTTCAGTAAAACTCTTTGATAGTGATCAAAATCGCAACTAAAAATACCCGGTTAAACATGCTCTAACTGATCAAATGTTGTTGCAAAAGAAGTCGGAAAAAATAAAACGAGCATACTAACACGATCTACGCGCAACGTAGTTTCATAAAACATTTTGCTATGAGTCAAACTCGAAATATTTTACTCGCTAATTTTATGCACAGTCGAATCATGTTTACTGGTCGGCCTGTAAAACTGAAATTCATTAGATTGAATTTTGATCAACTTCGCATAATGCATGAGGTGGTGTAAGTAAATAAAAAAGCATGAAGTACGACTTCAGGTATTTTAGCTTTTTAATGAGGCAAATATCTTCGCCCGAGGGACTTAGATTTCTCATGCTAATTAAACTTTTGTATGAGGGACTTAAAGTTTCCTCGAGTGGGATCAAACTTAGAAATCCTGCTTAGAGGCGCAACAAAAGTCTTGCCTAAGAGACTTAGTCATAAGTCTTGTCTTGATGACTTGATAGCAGTTCCATCTGAGAGGTCAAACACCTCGTCCGAAGGACCTGTAGTCTCACAAATCCGGCTATAAATATCTTCTTCTAAGGGACTTAAATTTCTCAGCTAATTAAACTCTCGTCTAAGGGACTTAGAGTTTCCTCGAGCAGGATCAGACTTAGAAATCCCACTTAGAGGCGCGATAAAAGTCTAACCTAAGAGACTTAATCATAAGTCTTGTCTGAGGATTTGATAGAATTTCTACCTGAGAGATTGCATATCACTCTCGCATGAGGGACTTAGAGTTTCCTCAGACAAACATGACAATATGACTTCTTTTAATTAAACCACCGAGTCTAACATGCCTATCACGTCATATAAAGAAGGTCATGGCCTCGGGGTACTTTCGTAAACTACGACTAAAAACATTTCGTCCTCTATCAAGGACATCATGCATGAGGGACTGTGTAGTGTTATATCCGTGAAAAAGCTGTCTAGGGTGATGATCAAAAGCCGCCCACAAAAGGGGCAATGTTCATATGTCTGCCTCAGAGAGGTACCACATCTCCCCTAAATACTTATCTATTGCTCAGTCATGGGAAACATGAATAAGACGTTTCTTGGGCAGAGAGAAGTCACAATCAATAATTGACCCACATCCCCTTCAAAATAGGGATTCAACGGTCCATCATTGACTAGGTGGGCGATGATCTTTTCCATAAAAATTCTAGGCCCGAATTCTCTATAAATACCTCTCTCCCAAACAAGAGAAAAATAGATCTTAACGAAGACAAATCATATTACACATTATATACAGAGTCTCTCAACTCACGTGAACATGTCCTCTAAACCACCACAATACACAACCATAATCGATATTTTAATGTTGCAATATTAATTTATATCTATACATTTTATAATTTTAATAAAAAATATAATTAAAAAATCAACCCAAAAATCACCGGAAAAATTTAAATACATACAAAAATAACTTTTGATTTTACAAACAATAAATCATATTTTTTTTATTAACTAAAGATTATTCGTATGCATGCAATTTTTTATCTATAACAAATTATTATTGTCTTTTTAAAGATTAAAACTATTTTTTTCAACGCGGCTATCTTCTTGAGTGACCCGTCCGCATAGTATCCAGGAAAATAAATCCTCTCAAATGTGATTTATATTTGAGAGAGTAAAGTGTAATCTCTTATCATTTAATTTAAGAAGAAAGAGAAAGGCTTATAAATTTTAGAAAGAATAATTTTTAATGGTCATAAATTACACTACTCTTTCAAATGTAAATTCCATTCCGTATCCAAGACCCGACCCGACAATTTTTTTCTTCATCTTCTTTGTTGGTGTTCAACTCGTTCAAGATATTCAAAACTAAACCATCGCAAACAGAGTACAAACCCTAATAACGGAAACTCCTTTCCTCTGTAATTTCATACACAGAGTTCACCTCAAAGGGGTTTCTTCAATCCTACAAAAATTCAAACACGGAATCGAATGGGGAACAGAAAAGAACGCCGTCGTGCCGCTCACAGCAACGCTGGTCGCAGAGTCAAACTCGATCTTTTCGCGGAACCCTCCGGTACACGCTCTCTCCTTTACCACTATTTTTTCTCAATTTCTTTTATAATTTTTCTTATTGTTTAGTTTTATGGTTGAATTTTCGTATTGATTTGAATTCGGAAACCCTAATTTAGTCCGTATATGGAAAATCATTGCTGATGCCGCGATGCACATAGTGTGAATTTTAAGAAAAGTTTTAAATGCACAATTGAAAAACACTTGCGATTAAGATCTTTCATTACATTAGAAGTAAACAGTTTTGAAGTTCTGAAACTATGAGTTTTGATGAAAATACTTCAAGAAACATAGACGAAATTGTCTCATGGGTTTTCTAATGCGGCCGGATGTATGATTTTAATATCACAGTGCAATTGCGGTCTGATGCGGTCGTGGAGGCCACCAAATCAGCAATATTACATACGGCCTCAACCGTGGTTTGCAAACCACAATTTAAAATGATGCTCTTATTAATGATGTCCATGATTTTCAGTTCACTTTCATGTTTTCTGTTTGGTTGCGTGTTTCATCATATTTTAGTTGCTGAAACTTGAAAGTGAAGGTGTATGTAGTTACTTATTATTTTCTTCTTATAATTTTATTGTCCTTGACTTAGCTAACACTTAAAAACATTAGCTGTCTGGTTGTCGGTTACTTAATTCTACTTCACAATTATTTTCTTTAGTTTTTCCAATATTTATATGTATACCAACCAATACAGATGAGAATATCATAGTACTGCATATATGATATTATGTCTATGATTGTTCATGCTAACTTTTAAAAGATCTGTGTTTTTAATTTATTTTATTTATTATGTTCCAGTGTGTTGTACCAGATTTCCTTTGTCATGTTTTTACTTTCTACTTTCTACTTTCTAGTTGTCGTCAAATAGAAGGTTAATGAGTTTTTACATCGGAGAAGAGTCGCAGCATATCTGCGTTCCATTGGGGTAGTTTATGTCTGCATATAGTATGTGTCGGAGAAAGAATTGAAACAATACTCTGGATCAGTGTTATCAAATTGCCCCGCCATGGCTGCTATGGCGGATATACATGGCGGTTTTTGGACTCGCCGCAAATATTGGCCGCTATTGTGGGTTTTTCTGCCATAATCCGCAATAACGACGCCACAATGCAGCCAGTATGGCGGGATTTTGGCTCTCCGCCATGGACCACCATCCGCCATCGACAACACTCGATTATATAGACGACTTATGGAGTAGTATTAGATTCATAAATCTTTTATATTTTGTTTTCTCATCTCAACTCCATTTTACACAATTGCAGGAGAGTTGGGTGGCTCCACTTTACACGGTGATGCTGGAGGAGATACCGATTCACATCATCAGCAAGATGGGTTACCCAATTCACCCTCTTCTTCAGGTGGGTTCTGTCAGTTTTCCTCAAAAGGACTATATTTAGAGGACATGAATGCTCAACATTAAATTGGTGGAAATATGGAACTTTATATACGAGACATATTTTGTTCTGTTGTTTGCCTTGCCCCAAGAAACTGTTTTCAGACTATAGGGCTGCTCAGGTCTTGGGAACATTCATTTCAGATGAGGTCGGCTCTGCCACATTGAAATATGAATGACTCCCAATCATTTTCCCTCCTTTTTGCCAGCTTCAAGGATTTCCGAAATTCAGGCGGTAGAAATTTTTATTGGTTCGTATGTTTCTTTCTTTATTTGCTTAGTGCCTTGCTGACGTTTCCTATCTGTTACAGGGACTCAGGTTATACAGGCTACAATGCTTGTGAATATATTTGTGCATCTTTCAGTTTTCTTGTTTCTTATTTTTCCATTTGTAGCGATCACTTGTATAGTTATAATATCATTTTGGCTTTCTTTTCATATATCGTTTACTTTATATGGTTAATATCTTGCATTTGTAATTCTGACATGCTAGCTTTTGTCTTCAGGTCAACAATCACAAAATCCCCTCTTGTTACTTGGGCAATATAGTGATGATGAAGTGGATGAGGGATCAAGTAAAGGGCCAAATGAAACAGAGGTGCATAGCCATGAAGAGGTATTAGTTATACTGCCCACATATCTTTTCTAAATCAAAAGATTAATGTTTTCATACCAGATATGCATCTGATTGTTGTATTTGTACTTGGACTTGTTACGATGCTCTTGATATTAATAATTTCTCTAATTAGTTGTGACAATTGGTTAGAATGTAGTTTATGATAACTCGTTCCTACTATAATATGATGGTATTCATGTTTGCTTAGCACCATCTAAAAGTATAGTTGCACAATCCTTTTTACAATTATTTGCACTGTTTGAAATTTGATATATAGATTATATTCCGGTGCCCCTCGTGATGCTTATGATTGATATTGTTTGCGTAATAGATGTGCACAATACTTAATAAAAGAATGATTAATATTTATGTACTACTTATGCTGGGTGTTCTATTTTGTCAGGCTAACGGTGTACTCGGTGAAGGATCCAGAGGCCTGGATGTCAGTGTCTCTATAGATTCTGTTGCTCAGAACAATGGACTTCAGGATACAATGCAAAATTCAACCTCGATGGATTTTAAATACAGTGAAAAAAATGGAAGGGATGTTGCTCTTGGTAATATGCACAATGGAATAGTTTCCCAAGATCAAACGAATGCGTTGGAGCATTTTGATGACCGAGATGGAAGTGGTGTCAGTTCAGGATGGAAGATGGTGATGCATGAAGAAAGCCAACTTTATTACTACTGGAATGTTGAAACCGGGGAGACTTCATGGGAAGTACCCCAGGTTTTGGTACAAGAGGATCATTTGACTAATGATCCTTTACCTCATGTTTCTGTCAACAACAAAATAAATAGTGCCACAGTTGGTGTGGATAATTCGAATATGCTTTCAGCTCCGATGCTGAGTACTTCTGCTGCTTTCACAATTGATGGCACTGTGGAATCCTCTGCGACTTCTCATGAAGATTTAAATGATCACGGCCCCCATATGAATGGATGTAGGGGTGAATATACAAATGAAAATCAGTATTCTAATGTTCATGGAGATGATTTGGTAAAAAACCATGGTCCCGTGAGTTTATCTTACGGTGGAGATCATCCAATAATTTCCAAGTGTAGAGTTGAAGAACAGCAAGTGGAGATTGATTTTCCTTCCCGTCTTGTCCAACAGAGTGAGAGTTTATTAGAGAAGCTGAAATCACTAAAAAAGTAAGCATGTAGCTTTTGCTGTTTTACATCATTTGTTTATGGTATTTTGTTTAACTATTTATTTGGTTTGATGAACGAGTTGTTTCTCCCAAATTTGAATAATTATTGGCATTTAAATATTTAATTGGCATGATCTACAGGTCAAAGGGAACTCTGCAAGGCCAGGATTTTTTGTCAACTTATATGTTAGAGATTGAGATTAGACTTTCTGATTTTAAGTCACTTGCATCCTATGGAAAATCTTTGCTTCCCTTCTGGGTGCACTCCGACAGGAAGATTAAAGTACTTGAAAGTTTAATCAATGATGAATTGTTGCAAACTGATGAATTAGAAGATGGTGAAATTGAGGACAAACAAGTACCTGTCCCTGGAGAATTGAGTGAGCAACATAATGGTGTAGGCAAGGAGTCTGAAGTAGACCACACCGAAAACAAAGACAGCTTTCTTACTTCCGAAGTATCTACTGGATATCAGGCTGATGCTTCCGCTGTAGCTTTAAAGGACGCAAGTGATAAATTTTCCTGCGATGCTCAGCGCATTCCATTGTCTATTTCTACTGGTAATCATATGGAAACAAGTCTAGAAGTTGACACTCAAATTGAAGCAACTATAAATCCTGAGGAATCAACCCATGAACACATGTATAATGTTGGGGAAGATGTCGACATGGATGTTGACATGGAAGTTGAAGATATGAATTCCCCGGAAAATGCAACTGTCATGGACGCGTCAGATGCAAATGATTCCGTTCAAATAGACCAATCATTTCAGTCGAATCCACTTTTCGAACACCATTCTTTGTTGCCCGAGGATGCGTTTGTTGTGCCTCCTCCTCCCGATGATGAATGGATTCCTCCACCACCCCCAGATAACGAGCCGATGCCTCCACCACCACCGCCTGGTGATGATCAGATGCCCCCTCTTCCACCTGGTGATCCACTAGCAACTTGCTACCATGTTATCCCATCTTACACAGAGACAGGCCAACCCATTTCGTATGCTCAATATAATCCATCTTATCTTGGCGCTAGCTCTGAGTATTATGGTCAGACAGCTGCTGAAGTCCCAACTAGTAATATATATGGACAAATCGCTATGCCACCTGCACAACTCTACTATAGTGCAGTTCCTAACATGTATAGTGAAAATTCTCAAATTATGATCAACCCGGCAGATCCTGCCGCTGCTTATTATGAGGCTCAAGATGGTACGTTAATATTGGTACCATCATATTAGTTAGTAGTTTGTGATGTTTCATTTTTTTGCTACTGCGTATAGTTTTGTCATAGTCATTGTTTTGTTGTAACAATATTTTATTTTTGTATTTCAGGAGCTGATTTGAAACCCATACCAGATATCAATGTTAGTGATTCTGGTGGTGTTGGTGGGGATGACAGGATCTCTAGTGATATTCCGTCCATATCAACATCCATCCATAATCCTGCAACTGTCTCAGTTGATGGCAGTGTTTCACTGCCAGCATCTACCTCTGAAGCTGTTGCTGACAAGACCACCTCGTCATTAGCTGCCAAAGCACAAACTAAAGGTAAATATTATGGGCTATTTTGATATTACTGGCTAGATTATCCTACTTCGATTTTAGCCAGTGTTGAAGTTGTGGAAGCCTGATCCATCAGTTTTATTGGATATTTAGGGGTTATATAACATATAGCCATAGATTGTTGGGTTATATGTTTTTCTTTTCAAAGCTAACTAAAATGTCAAGTTTACAATTAATTGGGAACATCCGTTGAACCCTCTGCCCCTCGTTGTGCTGGATGAATGGGTTCAGCAGTATTAGCGGTTTTACTTGTCAACATGCCTTTATTTTGGTATCTCATGAAATGTAGTTAGAATTGTTGTCTATAATTTAGTTAGACCTTTTTAAACCTCAACATGTTCTTCAGGAGGCACAAATACCATAAAAATGTAAGGAAATCCTATTTTATCCTTCAAATAGATTCAAGATTAAGTCAAGGAGTTAAAAATGTGAAATTAGGAACCTCTGGTCGTAAATCAAACAAAGAACAACTATTGTTATTCTTTCCAGTCTCACAACTTTAAGAAAATCAAACACACCCTTTATATTTGTATTTATTTGTCCTTCTATAAATTTAAAATGTAATGTTAAATGCTCTTCATAAATCTACACAAACTGTACTGCAGTGAACGGGTACTTACTTTCCTCACCTTTTTTCTCAGTTGTCCGTAGCAGAAAACGGGCAGTTGCAGTTGGATCTTCATTGAAGTCTAATAAGAAGGTTTCAAGTTTGGTGGACAAGGTATGTCTGCTTTTTATAATTTTTGTCTTCAGATTTTGGTAGTTTTTTTATTTCATGCTCTCTATCCGATGTACAATTCTTTTAGTTTCTAAGTTTGACTATTGAACATCATTTTTTTATTTATTGTTATTACTAGTGGAAGGCAGCTAAAGAGGAGTTGCTTGAAGAAGAGGAAGAACCTGAGAGCGTGCTTGAGGCCTTAGAAAGAAAGCGCCAAAGGGAAATAGAGGTTTACATGAAGACCTACCTTTGTATAATACGGAAAATATCCAATTTTTTTGTTTCTGATGTTTATTACGTTGCAGGAGTGGCGCGCAAAGCAAATTGCAAGTGGAGAGGCCAAAGACAATGCTAATTTTCAACCTTTGGGTGGTGATTGGTATAGGCCTAAGAGACTGTTAAATTTAACATCCACTAATATTCTTACTTGTAGACAAACAATGAGACATTCCTTGTTTTTTGCAGGCGAGAAAAGGTCAGACGCAAGAGGGCAAAAGCAGCAAAGGAAACTGTTGGCAAAGTGGAGGTTGCAATTGAGCATAGTAATCAAAAGAAGCCAGATATTATCGAACTTTCCAAGGGTCTTCAAACTAATTGGCAGGTGTGTTTCCTTGTCCTTTTACATTGCTCTATTTGAATGTGGACTTTTGTACTTTATTAGATTGTGAATTGGCTAGGTGCAATTCAAGAGTATTGAAATTTGATGTTCAGTGGATATTGATATTGGATGAGGAATCTTGTTCTTATCATTTTTTACTTGCCTTTCAGGCTTATTGGGATGAGGCCTCAAAGCAGGTTTATTATGGTAACGTTGTCACATCAGAGACGACATGGACCCGACCGACGAGATGAGCAATATGTATATAGCTTAGAATATTTTGCATCTCTTGTTCTGAGTATATTATCTTCTGGTTTTAGATGGTAAAGGGTTTATTAGATATATCCATTGTGCATGATTTGCTCTTGAATTTTTGGTTTGTTACTGCTTTTCAGAAGCACCAGAGTGAACATTGTTATTCACTTGTGCCGGAGTAGTTTTTTGCAGCGACCAAAGGAAATGAAGCGAATATGAAGTCATTTTTAATCTCTTAAAAGGTTTTGTTTGGGAGTTTGCTGCAAGGTTCTTAGAATTGAGTTTTTACCCTGACTTGTTTTGCTTAGGTAGAATCGAAACGTAAAATTGTAGAGTTTATTTCATATTTAAATAGTATTAAATTTATATACATAAAATATACATATCGTTGGAGCAACTCCCCATCCAACTGTTGGAGGACGTGGCCCACAACTTCTCAACAGACATATCAAACTGTCCTCTGGGAATTTTGGGTCCAACCCTATTTTTGCGGAGCAGTTGACCAGGGGGGAGTCTACTTGTTGGACTTCATACTCACGTAAACCCTGGCAGTTCTCGTTATTGAGCCTTTGCGTGGCCCAATAGTGGGGATTTTGGTCCAACGTTGGGGGTTATAAATTCTCTCACGAGAGGGTCAGATATTCATTCATCACACCTAAAACTCATACTTGCTTGCTTATTCCGCTTCTCACTTTACCATCAGAGTGTCTTGCAGGTACCCTCCCCCTCCATCTCATTCAAGCTCTGTCTGAAGTCAGCTGTGATGGTCCAACTCTGATCGGATTAGATCAATGACGCCGTCTGTGGGAATTTAAGCTTCCCCGTCTTCTCTTCACTTAAGACCAAGGCTAAACAATCCTCGACTGTCATGGCTGATCAGACTCAGGACAACCAGAACGTTCGTGCTATTGACGTTAATAACAACATTGTCGACAACAATGTTGGCCTCGACAACAATGTCGGCCTCGACAACGCTAGTATCGTCGGTCATAACACAATCCCTGGCGTTAACATGCCCGAACCTTTTAATTATAGGGACGGGGCCACGATTTCTTCTTCATCAATTCCTCCTCGACTTGAAGAAGATCGACCATCTCCCCTGAACTATTCACCTGTCCAATTTCACGAGGTCCCTGTCCCCGTCGGGGCAGACGCCATGACCAGGGCACTGTTCGCGGCGATCAATCAAACCAACTATCTCATCTTCGCTCAGGGGGAAAGACTGAGAGCGCTCGAGGACGATCAAAGGCCCCCGAGAAGACACAGGAGACCTCAATCTCCTCCCCCTTGACAAGCGGATGAACGTCTTCAATCTCCCCCGCGGAGACAGAATTGGGACATCTCTAGAAGTCCGTTGCCCCGACCACTCGGGCGACGACCCCTTTTGGAGAGGGGACTGTTCGTCGACGCAAGAAGACACGACTAGGCCTTTCGCGGCAAGAATGAAGACCCCCCGAAGACAGACACCGGGGAAACCATCAACGGTCATACCGTCCAAGGAACGCTCTGCGCGACCAGGGCCATCGTGACCGCCACTACATCGGATCTCTATCCCGCTCTCCCGAACAGAGTGACGAAGATGACCCCCGCGATCCCTTGTCACAAGCTATCAGGGAGGCGCCCATTCCTCCGGGCATGGAGAAGCCTCCCCACTTAAAGGAGTACGACGACATCGTCGACCCGATCGACCATATAGACGGGTTCGAAGCCATACTCCACTACCACAACGTCGGGGGACCAATCAAGTGCCGGTTGTTCCCCACGATTGAGGAAAACGACTATGGACTGGTAAAGGTCTCGCCCCAGGATCAATTACCTCTTGGCGAAACCTGAAGAACCAGTTCATCAGCTCGTTCACTGCTTCGCGACGACACCCGAAGATCGAAGCAGCACTCGAGGCCATCGTCCAGAAACACGATGAGACCTTGAGAGAATTCATTGACCGCTTCAATCGGGAAGTCATCCAGGTCCCCTGCACGAACCATATGAAGAGGTACCTGCTGGAGATGGGGCTCTTCCCCGACACCGAATTCAGAAAAATCGTAGACATCGAATCACCCCAGACGTTTGATGCCCTCCTCGAAAAAGCCAGGGTCTATATGGACTACGAGGAGAGAGAAGCGACCAACAGAGTCCGAGACAACATTAATTCGCGATAAGACATCGCTCCTCCTCGATGAACTGGAGAGAAGAGAAGGGACGATAAACCCCAAGACGCCCAAGAACAGAGGGGGCCTTCGGGGAGGTTCACCGAACACATTCCGCTAATGGCTTTTCGCGAGCGCATTTTAGCGGAGTGCGCAAGTACAGACTTCAAGGATGGCAGCGTCAAACTGCCCTGCTCCTGCCAAACCCGGGATGGACCGAAGCAAATATTGCCAGTACCACCGGAGTCACGAGCACCTGACTGAAGATTGCGTCTACCTCAAGGACGCCATCGAGACCCTCATAAAAGGGGGGAGACTTGCACAATATTAGCGAAATGACGCTCCTCGTCGGGATGCCCGTGAGACGAGGGAAGCAGAAGAGGATGCCCGACCATCTGACGAGTCGGTTCCCATTCAAACCGCGTTCTCTGTCACAAGATTCGAGGACTTCTACGTCTCTGAACATCTGCAAGAACCTCTGTCTACGCACAGCAGGTGGGAAAACTTCTCCGCCATGGTCTTCAATGGTGGAGGGTTTAATGATTTGACCATGAATTTAGTTAAGAGGAAGCTGGACGAGCTGGTCGACACGACTCCCCCTCAAACAGTGACCTTCGAAAGGGTGAAAAGCAGATCAGAGCCGATCACCTTTTACCCCGAGAAGCTCCCCGGAGGGGCTCCCAATTCGGCCATCCCTCTGCTGATAAGGGCGAGAATGACCAACTTCGACGTATATTGCTTCCTCGCTGACGAGGGAAGTTTCGTTGACGTGATGTATAGTCAGTTGTTCATAACCCTGCAGCTCGATGACTCTCACCTTTCACCATACTTGGGGTCAGACCTGCAGGGCTTTAACGGGTCAACGTCCAAGCCTTAGGGATACATCGAGCTTATGGTCACGTTCGGCGAGGATACCGTTACCAGGCAGGTCAAGGTGCGCTTCCTCGTCATTGACTGCCCGTCCTTCTACAACTGCATTCTCGGAAGGTCGATACTGGCATAGCTGATCGCGGTGCCCTTCACCGTTCATTTGAAGATGAAGTTCTACACCAAGAGGGCACGAGTCGCCACTATTCAAGGTGACCTGGCAGCTGTCCGATGGTGCTTCAACGCGACATTCAAGGGACACAACACGATCGACATCAGCACACAGCCTGTCAAGAAAGCTGCAACTGCGCGATCAGAGCCTCAGCGATCAGAGCCCGTCAGAGTAGAAGAATAGAGGGCCTCTCCAAAGGTTGACTCGATCTCCCTGGACACTCGCTTCAACCAGGATGAGCCCCCCAACGGCGAGCAAGTTCCCCTTCGACCAATTCTGGACGGAGACTTCGAGCTCGCCCCCCTCGGTGAAGACCCAAGTAGAGGAGTGAAGATTGGCACCAGACTCCTCGACTTGGCGAGAAAGCAGATCAAGGATTGCTTGAGGGAAAATGCGGATCTGTTCGCATGGAGTGCTGCGGAGATGCCCGGTCTTGACCCTGAGGTCGCCTGTCATCAATTTGCTATCGATCCAGCCGTTAGGGAAATAGTACAACGTAGACGTAGGCAGTCTCCGAAGAAAGCAGAGGCTGTTGAAAAAGTTGTAAAAGAGCTCCTAGAGGCAAATTTTATTTTTGAAGCTCGATATTCAACTTGGCTGTCAAAATGTTGTATTTATTAAGAAAAATAATGAAAAATGGCATATGTGCGTTGACTACACCGATCTTAACCGGGCATGCCCCAAAGATGCGTTCCCTTTACCTAATATTGATATGCTGCCGGTTATAAAATTTTATCGTTTATGGATGCTTATTCGGGCTACAACCAAATCCCGATGGCAATAGGCGATAAACACTACACTGCTTTCACGACTAGCTCGGGTAACTATTACTACAATGTAATGCCCTTCAGTTTGAAAAACGCAGGAGCAACGTACCAGCGGATGATGAACAAAGTCTTCCGCAACCAAATCGGGGATATGCTCGAGGTATACATGGACGACATGATCTTCAAGTCCCAAGCAGACACCGACCATGCTGCTCATCTCAGGGAAATCTTCGCCCAAGCAAGGCAATGCAAAATGATGTTTAATCCCGAGAAGTGCACGTTCGGGGTTAAGGCGGGCAAGTTCCTCGACTTCTATTTAACAGAACGAGGAATCTAAGCCAACCCAGATAAGTGCCGAGCTTTCTCCGACCTCCTCACACCTACGTCGAAAAAATCCATACAAGTCTTGAATGACATGCTTACCTCACTATCCCGTTTCGTTGTAAAATTCGCTCAATACGTCCTCCCTTTCTTTAAGCTCCCTCGCAAGAAAGCAACTTTCGAATGGACCGAGGAATGCGAGAAGGCTCTGCTCCATCTCAAACAAAGCCTCTTGCAGTCGCCCGTGTTATCGCGATCAGTTGACGGGGAAACCTTGTTTCTATACCTAGCCGTCTTGGTCAAAACCGTCAGCGCAACCCTTATTCGTGAGACGCACGACAGACAAAAACCCATTTATTTCACGAGCAAAGCGCTTCAAGGGCCCGAGGTTAGATACCAACAAATAGAAAAGGTGGCTCTGGTCCTCCTCAACGCAGCGAGAAGGCTCAGACACTATTTTCTCGCGCACACGATCGTGGTGCGAACAGACCAGCCTGTGAAACAACTCCTAGGTCGACCAGACATGGCGGGTCAAATGTTGAAGTGGTCCTTGGAACTTTCTGAATTCGACGTCCAATACGAGAACAGAAAGGCCCTAAAAGCACAGACTCTGGCTGATTTTGTCACAGAGATGATCGCTCATAATCCCCCGCAGGGAAGGAGCGCAAGTGGATCATCTTTGTCGACGGAGCCTCCAGCTCGATCGGGAGCGGTGCAGGAATCTT